CTGCGCCATTCATCGTTATCTCGATGTTACAATGTTGCGCTTTAATACTTCTACATCGAGATAACGATGAATGGCGCAGAATATCAATTTTAAATTTTAAATTTTAACATCAATAATTTAAAAGTTTGTGTATATGACTTGAATAATAAATATATATGTGGACATATTAAGTAATTTATCAAAGTGAACTAAGGATTGTTTCAGGCATTCTTAACATAACACTAATTCTAGGTTATCTATAATTAAAACTAAGGAATGTTCATATAAATTAAACTACACTTCTTGTAACATTCTTCAAGAAATGTTCTGCAGTCCGCTAAAATAGGAAGTATTTTGAATAAGAACATAAGCAATAGAACAAAGCTGCACTAAGATGGATTAAAAAAATTTCCTCAACCAGTCCAAAACGTCATCTATTCTACGTTAAAATCAGACGCAACCAAACACTAGCAGGCTTCCTAAATGTAACAGAATGATGCAATATTTCTGTACCTTTAATCAGCAAAGAGGTGAAATCGGATCTAGACTAGAGTGTACCTTTTCTTGTGTTTAATATATCCAGCTAAATTCTCTAAAATTTCTACCAATGCAGGCAAATTCCAGATAAATAACAATCATTCTGCGACAAAGAAAATTAATCTCACATAGCATTACATCAACAAGTCGTCGTTCATACTTACCAACCCAGAAATTGGGCCATGTGAGACCTGTGAGGAGGGGGAACCACTTTTAAAACCTGAAGCCTGGCAAATTAATATTTAATGCGATCTTCTACAATATCGAGTATTTCGTCATAAATTTTAAGACACTACATTTAAAATCTGGACGAGGTATGAAACATAATCTACACTGATACCAAATAAATTCGATGTTTAGAGCGATTAAAAAAAACAATGACACACTTTAAATTTTAAGAAACTGCCAAATCAATAAACTCCAAAGACGGTAGTGAAATGTTATTTCCTACATTATGAATCGTCCATAAATTTAATGTTACATATTAATTGTAAGTCTTTATTAAAATAAGTTTAAAATGAAGATTTCTGTCTTCTGGGTTGTTGCGCTGTGTAGTCTGGTCGATGTT